GTGAATTAAATTTTACTCAGTTTATTACAGTCTGCTGTTTTCAGACCTGCAATTTACAAACCATTTTCAGTCACTAAATAGCAGCCTAACCATGGTGCTAAACTACTGCTGCTACTGTAACTACTGCATCGTCATTAAAAGTCGCGTTAGGTTGGTGGTGGTGGGGGGGTTCGGGGGGGGTAAAGGGGTATTAACTGTGCTCCTTACCCGTCCTGAGTGCCCGATTACATTCTTTTTGTGTTCTTTTCTCTCCTGCAGGCTCTGCAGACTCTTTACTCAGGTCATATTTTCCTGATGGAATGAGTGAATCTTTAATAGCATACCTGCTTTACGGTGTCCTGAGGGCCCTCCAGTACCTGCACCACATGGGCTACGTCCACAGGTGAACAATATTATTATATACGATGACCAGACACTTCATTAAGTACACTTACCTTGTATCTATATATATATATATATATATATATATATATATATATATATATATATCACTGCTCTTGGAAGAAAGCCTCGTATCTCTATTTTTGTCGTTTTTCAGTTTTGGCATAATTTGTTGGCCTTTACGTTATGTGCAAATTTCATGTCGAATGGACTAAAATAAATGACCCAAAATTATCTGGAAAAAATGCTGGTTCCATTGACTCACATTAAAAGTAAAGTATGTTTTTCCTTCTCCTGTAAAGTTACCATTATGGAGATACAAGGTTTTGTTCTGACAACAGCGATGTGTGTGTGTGTGTGTGTGTGTGTGTGTGTGTGTGTGTGTGTGTGTGTGTGTGTGTGTTTGCATGTGTACAATATGTGGATACATTTTCACACACACACACACACACACACACACATATATACATATATATATATATATATATATATATATATGTATATGTATATGTATAAAAGATTGATTTATTTTTTTCTTGCTCCTCTTTTTCAGGGGTGTGAAGGCGAGTCATGTGCTGTTGTCCGCTGAGGGGCGTGTGTGTTTGTCTGGGCTGCAGAGTGTGTATAGTTTAATGAGAGATGGGAAGAGGATGAGAGCTGTGTTCGACATGCCTCAGCACAGTCCATCTCTGCTGCCCTGGCTTAGCCCTGAGCTACTGAGACAAGTAAACACACACACACACACACACACACACACACACACACACACACATATACTGTATATACAGTCATACGCAAAGGTTTGGGCTCCCCCGGTCAAATGACACATTAAGACATCTCGCACTGCTGCACTTCTTACTGCAAAGTACTGTGTAACTGCTGAATTTAACATGTTAGGAAAAAAAAGGATAAAATGTGACATATGAAAAGATTATGGTGCATTTAATATGTTATGTTTTATAGTTTCCAGTATGTTAAATTCAGCAAAGAAATTGTGCTCTGAAATGAGCAGAAAACCACAGTATTTAAGTTTGTTTACTGTAGAGGATTTGTTTACTTACTGTCACTTAGAAAATCAACTGAACATCATTTGAACAGGGGTATCCAAACTTTTGCATCCTACTGTTTGCGAGTGCTTATATGTCCTATAGGTATTATGTATATTTAGATACCTATATTATAAAGTAATAATATGTAATTGATGTATTATAAGTAAGTACCTACACCAGCATTCAGTTTCCAGCAAAATAAAATAAAAAATAAAATGTTATAGATAAATGAATAAAATGATTCTATTATGATGTTACTGTACAACTGCACAGATTTCATTTAATCAGTAGAAAACTGTGAAAACGTGATGTGTGCAGAATGATATCAGATGTGTGTCGAGCTGTAAATGATTCCTTAATGACTGTAAAAGTGATAACATTTTAGTGAAGTTCTAATAAAATAAATATCCAGAATGCCCTCATATCAAAAAGTTACTATTAATAAATAAATACAATTATTGAATTATATTTTCATGTTCCCAAAATCTTGAAATATTGAATAAAACATTTTAAAATACATTCTGGTGTCTATCTTATAGCATTTCAATCTACACATTAAATAATATATATATGTGTGTGTGTGTGTGTGTGTGTGTGTGTGTGTGTGTGTATATCATAATCTTGACCTCCAGAATCAGAAAGGAATGGTTTTGATGAAACATGGTGCTTTTGTGAACAGAGTCAGGAGTGTTTTGTTGGCCTGTATTTTAGCCCAGTTTTTCTCATTTTTCTGGTTTTACTACAATCAGAACATTTTTGTTCTGTAAATGTACAAAAACAAACACGCATACAAACACTAAAGTGACACTGATCTGCTGTGACCACCCGAAAAGCACAAGGGTACATAAACAAACATGATGCACTCTGACAACTTAAAATCAGATCTCACACACACACACACACACACACACACACACACACACACACACACACACAAATTTGGTCATATGCAAAGGTTTGGGCGTCCCTGGTCAAATGTCATGTTGGTTCTTTAAGTGAAAAGTAAAATATTAAGTTAATTAGAAAATCAGCAAAACGTGTAATCTGACCAGGATGCCCAGACTTTAAGG